TTTTTCACACCACTGTACATGCTGATTCCAAAATTGTTCATTTTTTGTATAATCCTGAAGACATTTCGAAAAGCAAAATATGCTGCACTGTACTGTAATTAATATTCATTTTTATTATGTGCAGTACATACTATTCAATAATGGCATCACAGCTGTGATTTCATTTCCAAAGGTAGCATAAAACAATTCTGAAGTCTGCAATTACATAATGAGTTCAATACATATTTTATGCATTGAATTCCATGTCTTATGTGTTATTTCAGTATTCCATGTGCTCTTCTTTATCAAAAACCTGGGGGTATTACATTTTGAGACTGATGTTGTACTATACAGTATATACATAACTGAATGGTTTCCACTAGACATTCCAGCATGGCTTCATAGAACGACAGTAAAACAGGGTACAATATGTATATTATTTGAAAAGTTATGAGCAAAATTTGGACATTTGTTTTAATCATGCAGATCATTGAGAAGGCTTGGAATTATTGGTTCATTGCATTTCACAGCTGTAGATACTGTATATATCCTGTCTGTTCAGTGGTTGCATTTTAGTTTATAATATTGCACTGTGCAGCTGACAGCTTGCTAATAATAAAATCAATTTGTTATTCCCTATGTGTGAAATGTAATCCTAAAAATCTCATCTAAAGATTCCTATCCTTTTTCATACATTTTCTCTGGAAACTATGTAACACAAATAGGATTAAAGATTGAATAGTTATACTAAGCTATTCAATCCTGTGCAGTCACCCACCTTCCAATTCCATTAGACTTAGCTCTGTATTTCCCAACCTTATCTCTAAAGTCTTAGTTATACTTATTTTTGAAAACTTTCTGTTTACTTGTCTCATTATAAAACCCAAGAATTTAGCCTTCTTTTATCCTTTAGATAAAAATAATGGTTTTCAACCAGCAGAATGAAAAGCTGTATAGCTTTATTATGCACATCTGAGAAAGATATGTGAACATTTGGGAACAATGCATTATTTTTAAGGGAAATTTTAATTTACACAACATTGATTTTATCTACAATTTACAAGTATATGTAATGTAAACAAAATAATTTTACAACTACAGTTAAAAACACATGATGAATCTTAAAATCACTAGCTGTTACAGACGTTAGTTATTAAAAGCAATAAATTAGGTTTGGGCAATAAACATAATTTGCATATTATGCGCAGAACATTAATAAATAGGTGAAAATTAAACTTTTATGTCAAAACATATGCATTAACATTGTACAAATGAAGTCTAGAAAAAAGCTGCTAATAGCACAACACACTAATACACTACAGCCAGATGGCCATCTCTGTTTCAGCTTCCCCACGGTCATTGAAAACACATGACCGAGATCTTCTTCTAAACATGTTGCCAGTGGGTGGTTTTGTCTTAGTGAGGTTTAAATAGATATCTGAGTGGAGAAATCTGGGATAACAGTCCTTTTTCATTAAACTGTAGACTTTGCTTTGTGCCGAGTCAAAGCAAGAGCGTGTGGGATTTAGGATATTCTGTTTAATCGTTGTCTTTGTAGAAAAGTCAATGTTAATCTGTAACAACAAAAACATCTTAATGTCAAACAATTGATTATTTATACAGAAAATGCAGTATAGTCTTACAATAGCACAATAACAATACTAGTAATAGTCTTAACAGTAATAATCATTATATTAACATCTTCAGTTTAGACTACTCTGATTAAACACTTTAAAACTCTTTATGGTAGTAAATGTCAATTAAAAAAACAAATTTTCATTTGTAAAAAGTCAATTTTTCATAATTGGATTGTATATGTCCCATTTTGTAACTGCATGGTGGTGCAGTGGATATCATTTCTGCCTCATAGCACTGGGGCTCTGGATTCAATTCTGGACCTAGGGTGCCATCTGTGTGGATTTTCTACTGTAAATTGTCCTCCTGCTCGCATGGATTTCCTGCAGGTGCACTGGTTTCCTCCCACAAACCCAAAAAAATACTGTTAGGTTTTGTTAGTTGACTTCTGGGAAGATTGGCCCTGGTGTGAGTGTATGCATGTCTGTGTTTGTGTCTATGTATACGCTGAGATGGAGTGTCCTGTCCTTATACCCATTGCTTGTCGGGCTAGGCTCCAGCTCCTCCACAACCCAGACTTGAAGGAAGCAGTTAGAAAATGAATGGATTGATATCCTGTTTTGCCGAAGTGGTGTCAAGACACTTCTGTGCTATCTTTTTCAATATAAATATTTGTTTGTGTTTAAAAAATGTCAGGTCTGAAATGTCTCAAAATGCCTGCAGGTGCTATTTAAGTAGCTTGTTCAGATCCTAGTAAGTAGGATATAGAGACAAACTGTATTAGAACTTTATTTGGCATAGCTTGCCTAGACAAGTGGGTGAGATTAGGTTCTCACTTTCCAAAATGTATGTTTAAAACACCATTACTAGATGTGCATCAATGCTTAAAAATGTGCAAACATTGTAGTGCACAGCTGTAATTAACC